ATGTAATATATCAAAGTCAATTTATGCGAGTGTGTGATGCGATTTATGTTAATATGGCGTATGGTAAGCAGATTGATGCTTCTAAGATTGTTGTTGCCGAAGGACTTTTAGCTATTATTTCTTTAATGCTTGGGGAATCGTGGCCGTTATATGGCAGCGAAATCCTACATTTCTGCAAATATATTTCAATGGACAAAAAATCTGTAGCCATAAGGTGCCATACTATTATTTACTTTATCATAAACAAATGTTTGGGGCTTTTCAGTTTATGATCATTGATCATTCAATCATTGGACAGTTATACTACATATTGTTTAAGATTTGAGAAAACTAACATTGATTACATGAGAAGCTGTTTACTATAACCTGTGATTTTGAGTCTTATGATCCATGAAGCTTTTTTATTTTGACAATTTGACTGGAATGGTATTAAACCTGAGTATTTCACATACATGAAATGTTGTCCCATGTCACATATTGTCCCCTTTTCTAACTGAACACCTCATGTAGAGATGTAAAGGTGTGTTAATCTACGGCTCATACCAGATTGTTGCCATAAATTCCAAAGGGCTATTGATGTATGAAAAGCATTTTCTATAAAGTAAAAATGTCTTCCTATGTATGCAGATAAACCTTGAAATTTGGCAAAACAGCAAAGTATTTTTCATGATCACTAGGTAATTTTTCTGATGATCATTATAATTTCTAAACTAAATTATTTTAGATTTACATTTAAACAAGCTTTGATCATATGGAAAGATATTTATCATAACCAGTAAGCATGACACATAAACCATTTTTAACATTCATGTAATTATATAATTAAAGACATGTTGGTTACATTCTGTTTGCATTTGATAATACAATGCTACTAGTGATTGCTATATAGCACACCTTGCAGAAGATAATAGTCTAGTGAAATGCCTAATAAACATTTATGGCATTAAGCTAACCTTAACTGCAAATTTTTACTCTGATAATTTTTGCTTAATCTTTGGCAGAAAAAAATTTTGAGTTTTTCTCAAAGGGTGAATTTGCTGGCACTGATGTGGAGATGGGTAAAGAGTTACAATAAACTTGCATGGTTTGAAGTCTGAGCTTTTCTATATCTATGAACTGTCACTTGTAGTACCAAATTTCTAACTTAACTTATTACATAGAGGTTTGAATGGGGGTCTCTAGGGGGGTCTATGCCTGACAACTTGGTTGAAATTTTAAAGAATATATCTGTTTTTGAATAACATTATTGTGAAATAAATTTACGTTCCTAGACATGCTAATGAGCCATATATTTGGCATGATAATGAGCCTAAACATTTGGCAAAACATTCAAGTATTGTTCACTTTATTTTTTTTTTTGAAAAAAACGTTAGAAAAATGTGTTGTTTTTACGCAAAAACGATGCCCACAAAATACATTTTGTATTGCTCTAAAACGCTGAAAATGGCATTTTCAAGACTCTGAAATTCAAAATTTCTCAGGGGAGAATGCCTCAGACCCCCCCAGGTGCGGAGCGCCTCCGACGTTTTATGACTGATGTTTGAAAAATCCTAGATCCGCCCCTGCATGAAGCCAGTAAGTTGATCGACTTTCCTGTTCTACGAGATTGTTGTTGTTGGCTTTAGCAGGGTGTTTATATCCAGCCTCGCCAGATTTGCTCATTTTCCCTTGTAGACGAGACCGTTTCTGTTGTGGTTCATCGTCTACATTCACGTCTCCTAATAAGCCCGACAGCGTCGGAATAAAATGGTTATGCAAGAGCGTCAAGTCGTCTGCTTTCTCAATTGCTTCGCTGACTTGTGCTATTTGATGTTGAATAGATTATCCAACCACAGAAAAAACGTTTACCGCGCACACTCAGTGGTTATGTAGATGTTTTGTCCTGGCAATTTATTTAATGGATTATTCGTATATGACCAAACACGCCATTTGTAATGGCGGAGAGTGAGGTAGAGAATGACGAATGTGCGCATGCGTAGTATCTCGTAGGATCTCTGCGGTAGATGCTAATAGAATATTAATTCTATTACGTTATTAGCTATAGTCGTTACGTAGTGTAGTAGAGAGAGCACTGTGCATGAATTAACCAGTTGTGCTGTACATGTGAACCAGTCAGCAGGCGTTAGTTACCGCTTCTCAACGATTTTGGGACTTTTTGGATTGTAAGAAGTTCCCTTTAAAGCGGATTTCCGCTTCCACGAAGTGCGAAGTGTTTTGCGTGAAATTTGATGTGGCGCATGCGCAGTTCTATTCTTTCAGTTCTATTCTGACTCTGCGCATGCGCCTTATCAAATTTCACGCAGAAAACTTCTCACTTCGTGTAAGTGCAAATCTACCTTTACTTTTGAATTTAAGAAGCTAAGTTCCTTTGGTCTATAGTAGTATTTACGCTTTGATTTTTTATTGAAAATATGTCTGACTGCGAGCCTACTCTTGACGCCAAACAAATCGTGTTTCCAACTGAAATCTCTGCAGTACAATATACCATGGCAGAAACCAAATTACTACAAGACACAAGGTTGTAAAGCACTTAGTAATTTAATTACAAGTAATTTCTTGAATTGCTGACGGCTGGTAAGTTTATAACTATGCTTGATTACAGCAACTTTAAATTTTATATTCAACGCATGTATATTTGGATAGCTATAACAGACACAAATGTCCAATACACCGGTGACATATTTTATTGCTGACAGTGGAGAACGTTGATTCATAGAGCACATTCAAGTAGGCATACGTACACGTAGAAATAAAGAATTGATAATTTAACATCGACTTCTTTCAAACTTTTCCAAGCAAAAAAATATTTTTATACCCACGACTTTACCCGCGACATTTTACCCGCAACAGTTAGATACACTCGTCCGCTACTTAGTAGGGAATTAGAACAAATGTGTAACCACTCAAATAAACTGACGATTTCCTTTTGGTAATGACTTTAACAAATCCATGACTGAGGCTAAATTGCCAGGTAAGATTTCGCACCACTCTCACGTTTCGCGCCACACAAAGCGAACTAATTTTTTCTCCAGAAAGGGGAGGGGTCACTTCTCTCCCCGGCAACAACAATTTTGTCAACCGTCCCCCCTCAATTCAGACAACATTTACAAAATTGCTGAAACCTGTCTTGTGTTATTTTCGAATCATACTTTAATAGTATACATAGATGACATATTGATTCTTCCAACAATTTACAAAAGATGCGCAAAAATGATTATAGAAGCCGTTAAATTGTTTTTCAAGTTTAGGTTTTGTTGTTCACGTAGAAAAATCTTTCTTTTTCCAATAACAGAGAACTGTGTTTTTGGGATTTGAGTTTGACTCAACGACCATAAAAATAAAATTAATCTTGGAAAAAATTTCCAAAATCATGCTCGAATTAGTCTTTCAAACATAAAATGCACCATACACGAAGTTGCTCAAGTAATTGGCTTGCTATTTTTTGCTTTCCCGAAGTAAGATATGGCGAGCCCCGTTTCAGATAAATTGAAAATAAAAAAATAATTGCGCTTAAACAATCTCGAGGGAACTTTGATGTGTGGCATATCTTTATCCTCAATACACATTTAATATAAACGACAACATTTTTGAAAATAGACATGTTTCGACATCTCATGATGCCATCCTCAGTATGATTTCACTAATTACTAATAAAATTTTAATCAAACTTCGACTTAAGAAAAGTCTCGTGTAATTTTCTCTGTATATTGTAAACCAACTGTCTTTTCACAAACTTTCACAGCTTTATCCCACTTTCTTACAAACGTTGAAAATAGTGTATTTCTGTCTCCCATTCACAGACTGTCACTCCTTACAAATCCGTACACAAATCGATTGTCTCTACAACGCTGCTTTCCCTCATCTCAATATCAGATTTATCTTTCCCACTTCCCCACGAATGCCTTCATTTTTCTCCATGTCTTTGAGATCTTTTGTTGTCTATTGAAACACGTGTCGGTGTTGCTCTGCGTCGTATGTGTGTCAAATCCCACGCCACTTTCACACCAGAATCTCGGAAAACTTGGGGATCTCTCCTTTGACTAGAAAACGCTATGCTAACCCATTAATGTCAAGTATTTTTTCTCATAGTAATTCCTCCAACCACCCTGCTTAGCCAGACTACTTCAAAGTCATTTCATCCTGCTCCGACACATTCCTGATCCACGAAAGCCTTCTCATCTCCAAACTAAAACCTTTTCTTCACACCTAAGGCAGCTCCATTTCCCTTTAAGCTTCTCTAGTATTAACAACTCACCTTTACTATACATCACATCGCACTAAAGCCTAGGCCACTCTATCGTCCATATATCGATGAAAATTAGAACGAAAACTGCCACAACAAAAATCTTGAACGAAAACCAAACGGAAATTCAACTTCAGAAGGAGTACCTTTCTGCCAAAAGAAGACACCTTTTCCTTTTTGTTATTTTTGTCACTGCAAAGACTACTACATAGACACATTCAATAATAATACCGTTTACGTTTTAGCCGATCTTTGTAAACATGCTTGAAATTTTACGTCGTGTTCGGCATGTATTTCGTGCACGAAGTTTCGTTTTGTTTTCGTTTTCGTAAATATAGACGAAAGTGTGGCCTAGGGTTTACACATTCACAGTAATCTAATACCTCTAACTATGTAAATAAATAAATTGGAAGTTTATATGTGATGATTTTCCGTATAAAACAGTGCTCGATGCCCGAGAGAAGAGCATTAATATATGTAGTGAAATAAGCATATAGACATATAATTCTTGTTAACTTCCTCATTACTATGAAGATATTTTGAGCCAATACGAAACGTCACTCTTTTAATAAATTTCACAAAACTAAGGTGTTTATGGCTATGTTGAAAATAATATGTTGGGCTCTAATATTTATATTGAGTACCCTTAAATTGGTGAAGGAATTCGGTGATTTATAACATGACCTGTAGATCTCGAAGCGTTTTTTGAGTTTCACGTTTATATAATGTTGAAATTTAAAGATAATTACTCATACAGTTGCTTGAAAACAATACGGCTACATTTTTCTTATGACTCACAGCAGAATCCTGTGAACTAGTTTTCATGTGATTAAAAACTAAAATATTACTAAAGTTTAACAAAACCTTTGAAAGCTGGTGTTTCGAATATGTATGGTAATCTAACAAATCATATATGTTATGACAGCAATTAACGGCATGAGTACAACAGTCAAAATTGCTTGTCACCTTATAAATAAACGTTCATTTCAATGTTAATTGCGAATGTATATCATTGTTGTTGTGCATTCAATTGATGTCTAATGCTTCTTCTTGCCTCCCGTTTACTCTGCAAGGAAATTTCTCCTCCCAAATTTCTATCAATTCGAGAACATCTTTTCTTTTGAGCCTATTCTCAACGATCGTTTTCAAGGCCTTAATATTATGATTGCTATGTGGGTCGTTAGCCCATCTAGTGATGACCATTTCTGCCAGGCCCTTTCCACCATTTGGTTTGCATGACTTTCGCATATCAGCCCCTTCAAAATGAGTAAAGTGGTCAAAAGCACTCACCAGATCTTCCGAACTCATACCTTCATGGTCCAGATGCCTATATATTTCGTTTGCTGTAGTGTAATCCATATCCTGAATTTCCAACATATCCCTGTATTTTAGAGGATTTTCCAAATTTTCACTGGTAGAAACACCTTAATTGAAGAGAAATCCTTATAACTTCTTATACGCTCGTTTGAATGCAAAGTTTCATGGTTAGTGAAAGTTATTGTTGGTTTAGAAATTGAATATTTTCTGAAATCTAATTACCTTGTCTGTTAACCTTTTGTAGAGTTAGAAGATTGTTAGAAATTTTCAATGATGTCGGAAATGTGAAAAAAATTTTATGTAGCTACTGAAACTCGGAAAGAAATCGCACAAAAGCGTGAGCGGTAAAATAAGGCAATTAATGCATAAATCTCAATATCCTTAATCTACTTTCTTTTATAGGCTTCCTGTTCTCATATATATATCTGGGAAAGCTCTCATCGTCGATGCCAATTATTAGTGGATCAAACTTTGAAAACATATAAGCAAGATATTTTATGGAATTGTATTGAAAATATGAGGAATTTTGGAGATTTACCAAGGAATTCTCAAACATTGCATTGTTTATCGACCTGCATGTACAGTTCACTATAAAATGTTCCTGATTTTAGATTTTACCTGAAGATGCCTGACAAAGGGGAAGAGAAATTTCACCTCCTTAATCTTTTTCAATGGAGACAAAGGGAGGGGGTTTAAGACAACAGTTCTCTTAAAAGTAATGTCTCTTTTGCAGGGATTTATTGCTATCGCTAATTGGGGGGGGGGGAGGTTCTTATTCATATATTCATGATATGCTGAGTTAATATCTTTTGAAATGTATTGTTATCAAGGGATTTATAACATGCATAAAAGAATAAGAGCCCCACCAATTAGCGATAGCAATACATCCCTGCTTTATTGGACTTTTTTTTATTTGGAGACAGTTTAGTTATAAAAAACAGCATCCTAATAAACTGATATCATCATCATCATCATGTCTTTTCGCGTTTTGTTACGCGGGATTTATAACATGCATATAAGAATAAGAACCCCACAAATTAGCGATAGCAATATGACCCTGCTCTTTTGAACTTTTTTTTCATTTCGAGAAAGTTTAGTTATAAAAAACAGCCTCTCAATAAAGTGATATGAATAGAATTGACAGATTTTTAATTAATACACATTAAAGTAAGACAGAAAAATTGTGATTGCTGTCTCATCGAATGTCGTACATCAAGAATGGTCAGTTTTTGAAATCAGCTGGTAGGTACATATTTTTTTGTTTCTGTGTTATTTAAACTGACATGATTTCAGCAAATTCTATTTTAAATTCTCTTGAGCTATATTTTCCCCCTTCCCTCGTGTCCTGTTGAATATTCTGTGTTCCTGTTTTCATTTAAAGCAAATGCTTTCGACAGATAATGTTAACAAGTTGTTTACTTTAGAATCACACGATGTTTTAGTTGCGATGATGGCGTCATTTATTTTAATTAAATAAAGTTAATTTTAGATTACTAGCTTTTAACACCAGCTTTTTTTACTGTTAAAGATTGCTTATTAGAATTTTTGGTCACATCTATTGATTTTAATCACAACATAACTGCTTGGTAAATTACGATCAGCCACTAAATAGTCTGCTCACGTATAGCGTAATATAAATTTACATGAAATCAATTTCCTGTTTAGGTCCAACAGAGTTTGGACAGACTGTTAGGGCAACTAATTGGTGAATATTTGCCAAGCTATGCTAGTTTCTGTTCTTTGGACTATTAAATATTGCCAAATCTTTAATACTGCATTGGAAATTTAGCTAACGACAATTGCATAATACAATTACCATAGGTTGATGAGAGCCCATTTCGAATCTTGATGAATTTTGCATCAACTTTGCCAGGAAAAGCATTTGAAAACATCTTGTAAATATCCTTTAATTTCTTACTTTCCACAGCTTTTCCATTAATCTCCAATAATCTATCTCCTCTTTTCAAGAGTTCTGTGCTTTCTTCAGAGGAAAATTGACCAACTTTCCAGATGAGAATGCGATCCTTCTCTTCAAAATTTCTTTCCTATGTTTTAAATGATTGAGCACAAAATTCTTTTTGGTAATCTTTATCGACTGCACTATGTGTTTAGTATATAACTGCTTATTTCTGATTTGCTCCCTTGTGTTTTCAGGAGTTTAGAACTCTGCTGAACAGAGTAAGCAAATAGAGTAATTAAAACAAAATTAACCATTAAAATATATCTAGTTTCTTTTTGTTTATCAAAACTTCTATTACGTTCTTACCTTAGAATAGAAATGACCAAGGTTAAGTTTTTCTATGAATTCTTTCGTTTTTTTTATTTTGAAGGTAACCACTGTACTTTTTGAATCATCTGGCCACTCTGATTCAAAACATGTCAAAGGATCATCTGGTTTTTTGGTATATATCCTAAACGTCATCTCCATGTTGTTGAATAACTCAGCGAGCTCGTTATGTTTAAGATTTCGTGTGTCGTGTTCGCCCACATTTGTTATCCAAACGTAAGGCATTATATTGGCATTTGCAGCAGAGTTGTTTTTCTCGACATGGCTTACAATGTGGTACCACTTGTTTGTCGATATATCCTGCTTGTGAACGTAACCTTTTAATTAGACTTGTCTTAAACGTCAGATCAAATTAAATCAGCCCAGCAAACAATATTCAAGAAAGTACATAAGACTTTTTACCATTAAATAGTAGATATTTTAATAGTATAAATTTTCTGAATGTAGTATAATTCAAGAGCAAAGCATTGCAATGAAAGACTGGTAAAATGTTGTTTACAGACCAGTAGCGTAGCTATGCCAGTAAGTTTGGTCGTGCTATATAAGTCTAACAATTAAAATAATTGATTCCAAAAGAAATAAATTATGATCAAATTAGAATAGCACGACCAAACTTTCTGTCTGGTGAGTCACATCTGCCAGGTTGAGACAGATAAAATTGACAAATAACCTAATATATTCGTGTTGTTCTATAACCCACAGGATAGTGTAAAAATAACTCAAATGAATGATGTGACTATAAAATGAGTCTGCCATATGAATTGCAATGATTCTGCAAAGGCAGAAGTTGTCAAGCAATTATAATAAAAGTTGACCTCAAATTAAAATACCTCAACTGAATGAATCTTTAGGCCCAGTTTGCTGTCTGAAGTATTTCTTTTTATAACATGTTCAACAGGCTCATTCCATGTAAGTAAATCTGGCCACATCAATATATTTCTTTGATCTTTTGTCAAATCATCCCATTTTATATCTGTCTCCATACTAGTTAAAACAGTAGAATTATCTCAAAACAAATAGACAAAAAAAGAATGTAATCCCTGAAGGCTTCATCATGGTTTACATTATATTTTTTCTTAAAGATACCACTATGCAAATGTTTTTCACAATAATTAATTATCCTTATTTCAATGTAAATTTCGTATTTACATTGTATTTTGATAGATTGAGCAAATAGAATAAGTCGTTCTTAGTAAGGAGCAAAGCACTATGCAACTGATGGTGTAATTCCAGTTGCAGGAAGAGAAGAAATAAAAATTTGACGTACAAGTAATACTCAAACTGATAATGGATGTGAGCCAAACTGTAAAAACAAAGATTTAGGTTTGTTTGTTACTTTCATGAACAAATTGATGAACTTTCCTATGGAACACCTTGTTTTCGACGAACATAGCTAACAACAAAAATTTTGCGGTCAAACGCTCCCTAGCATAATAATTTTTATCAAACGAGCTTTCAGCTCTCTTTCTACTGCCTTGAGTGGTTATAAGAGACACGCTTGTCTGGAAGTCAAATTACGTGTATTACTCGCGCGAGGTTACACGTTATGCAAGACTTGTAAAACAACATGTTTTTAACCGATATTTTTTTGATTTTGTTCAAAGAAAAACAATCGTAGCATCAAAGGTGATGATTCTTGATCTTTAGTCAGTAAATTATGATGTTTACTATTGAATACGTATTTTAAAATGGAAAATATCAATGGAAAATATTTTTGCCAAAGCTAAATTGCTACTACTATTATTTAGTTTAATGGTTGGCAATAAATTGCATTACTCTATTATGTTGACGTCACAACTTTCGACAGCCATTCTTGCATTGTTGTGCACACTTATGAAGGGTGGTTAGAAAATATCTGTTTGTAAGACTTAAATGTACCTTAACATCGCAAATTATTTAGCCTTGGAGTGTGTGTAACGGAATGTTATTTTTAGGCCATTACTTGATCACAGGTGAAGGCCTAATTATATCAGTAAACGACTATTATATCTATTCTTGATATCGGATCACGCATTTAGTCAACCGAAATTTTATGAACAGAAACAAAACATTGTTTTCTTGTAAGAATCAAATATAAAACGTGTTTTAACAAAAACTTATCATCATTAATGTTGACTACGTTGTTGTCTTATCTATGTATGCGAGTACGTGTAAATTTTGAGTAGTTTTTACTGATTACACAAGCAATTACACAAGCAATTTAAAGCACGTGAAATTCATTTTTTCACCAAAACGTAACATTTTCGAAATGTTTATGTTTCATCCAACAAATTCAGCTCCTTCTTTCTAAAGATTCAATTACATGTACCTGACACACATTAGACAGTGAAAAGGATATTTAAATGACATAGCTAATGCCTTTTGAATCAAATGAAAAAAATCAACTTAAGGTGTGCAAACACACTTGAGCATTTAATGAGATATTGCAATACAATCGTAAGACAATTAATAATCAGTGGTGTAGCCAGCCTGTAAATTTTGCTCCTGCTATGTAAATTGTAGCTTATTAACAAAATTCATTTCTTTAGAAATTTATTGTTTTTACAGTGAGTGAAACATAGCAGGACCGAATTTGCGGGCTGGCTTCGCCATTGTAAATAATAATACATGATGTGCTCTGTGTTTGTTCACTCAGATTGGATTTTATTTTTTAGAGCTATAATAGTGTTTCATACAGTCACTGTGTCTCACAACAAAGTTTTGTCTCTTGATTAAAGCCACTCACTTTTCATTGAAAAATTTTGTTGTTATAATCGCAAATAAATTATACGTTAGTAAATCAAATAACCATCTAGTGTAGGATATTACTTTTTAAACAATGGAAATATCAGATTTCTTTTCATCAAAAATTACATAAGTCAGGCAAAAAATATCAGCATTAAAAACAGCAAAGTTTTGTTATTTAAAATGTCTTTTAATGTGCTGCTAGGCAACTGTATTATGTAAATCATTGCATCAAGCAAAAGAGATCACAAATCAAAATTTACTATTTTCATGCATGATAACTAAACAGAATAAATAAATTCTTCAAAGATTTTTTCAGATAAAAATACTGATAATACAAGACCTTTCCTTGGCATATTACGTGAAAGCAAAAAAAGGATTAAACTAAAATTAAAGCTTTGGGGATTCCCCGATAAAAAAAAGGGGAGTTTAATAATTTCTTATAAATTGTTCACAACGGATAAGTACTTGAATGCCAAAAAATATATTTTTTACTGGATCAAAGTATTCAAACAATAAAATACAGCCCCCAGTGCGAGCATGGTAAAACCAGCAATGTTTGCATTATAGTTCGTATTATCAAAGGCTTAACTTACAATTATAAATCCAAAATAACAAAAGTCTGAAGACAACTTCCCGAATCTGCGATAATTTTACAGCGAAATGTTTCGTTATTGCGTTTAAAGTACGTTTATATATCAGTTATTCGTGTAAAGGTAAATGTAAAAGATTAATCACCAAAACAAATAATTTAAAGTGAGACAACATCTTCCTTCGGTAGTCAATATGACTTGATAACAACATAATGTTTTTTAAAAATTACCTTATGTTTTACTCTGAAATTTCTTTCTTGTCCTTTCCACGAGACTTTTGACTGTCTATACCACGTCGTACGTCTTCAATATTACCATCATATCGTTGTAAGATGCATTATCTAAAATTGCTGATCTCAATTGTTCCGATTGCAGAAGCTTAATCATCAAGAATTAATAGGGGATTTCCCAAGTGCTGTCAACTATTCTTGTCTAGTAATTTGTGTTAGCAATCTTCTAACGACAAAACACGCGTAGGCGTCGGGACATTAAAATCAACAGCAGGTCACTTATCGTATAGAATACTAGTCCTATTACGTCATTGGCTATAGTCGTTACGTAGAGAGAGCACTTTGCATGAATTAACCAGTTGTGTTGTACATGTGAGCCAGTGAGCACGCGTTGGTTATCGCTTTTCATGGACTTTACCCGCGACATTTTACCCGCAACAGTTAGATACACTTGTCCGCTTCTTAGTAGGGAGTTAAAACAAATGTGTAACCACTCAAATAAACCTGACGATTTCCTTTTGGTAATGACCTTAACAAAACCATGAGTGAGGCTAAATTGCCAGGCAAGTTGCTAACCCGCGATTTCACACCACGCTCACGTTTCGCACCACACAAAGCGAACTAATTTTTTCTCCAGAAAGGGGAAAGGGATCACTTCTCTCCCCGGTAACAACAATTTCGACAACCATCACCACCCTCAATGCAGTCAACATTTACAAAATTGCTAAAACCTGTCTTGCGTTATTTACGAATCATACGTTAATAGTATACAAAGATGACATATTGATTCTTGCAACAACTTATAAAAGATAAGCAAAAACGGTTATAGAAGCCATTAATTTGTTTTTCAAGTTTAAGTTTTGTTACTCACGTAGAAAAATCTTTCTTTATTCTGCAACAGAAAACTGTGATTTTGGGTTTTGAGTTAGACTCGACCACTATGAAAATACAAATAACCTCGCTCGGAAAAAATTTCCAAAATCATGCTCGAATTAGTGCACTTTCAAACTCAAAATGCACCATAAGCGAGGGTGTTCAAGTAATTGGCTTGCTAGTTTCCATCTTTCCTGCAGTAAGATATGGCGAGTGCCGTTTCAGATCAATTGAAAATAACAAAATACCAGAACTGAAACAATCTCGAGGGAACTTTGATGTGTGGCATATCTTTATCCTCAAAATCAGTTGACGAATTGAATTGGTGGCGGTCATCACAACCACACGCCACTCATTTCGTTCATACTCCATCGTACCAATTTTCGTGCTATAAATACTGGTTAATTCATGCGCAGTACTCTCTCTCCAACAACGCCTCTACTCCTCGATAATTACTAATAAAATTATAATTAAACTTCGACTTAAGAAAAGTCTCGTTAATTTCCTCTGTATATTGTAAACCAACTGTCTTTTCACAAACTTTCACAGCTTTATCCCACTTTCTTACAAACGCAATTTAATCTATGTCTTATTAAACAGCATTTTCAAACTCTGCTCCACTAATGAGACTTTTCATGCCCGAATAAAAAAACAATAGAACTCTATTCAAGCTCATCCCTCCTTAGCGTCCCAAAGAAAATAGTGTATTTTTGTCTCCCATTCACAGGCTGCCACTCCTTTTAAATCCGCACACAAATCAATCCTCTCTACAACGCTGCTTTCCCTCACCCCAATGTCGGATTTATCTTTCCCACTCCCCCACGAATCTCTTCATTTTTTCCCAAGTCTTTGAGATCTGGTGTTGTCTATTGAAACACGTGTCGGTGTTGCTCCGCGTCGTATGTGGGTCAAATTCCACGCCACTTACACACCAGAATCTCGGAAAACTTGGAGATCTCTCCTTTGACTAGAAAACGCTATGCTAACCCATTAATGTCAAGTATTTTTTCTCATACTAATTCCTCCAACCACCCTGCTTAGCCAGACTACTTCAAAATCATTTCATCCTGCTCCGACACATTCCTGATCCACGAAAGCCTCCTCATCTCCAAACTAAAACCTTCACTTCACACCTAAGGCAGCTCCATTTCCCTTTAAGCTTCTCTAGTATTAACAACTCACCTTTACTATACATCACATCGCACTAAAGCCTAGGCCACTCTATCGTCCATATATCGATGAAAATTAGAACGAAAACTGCCGCAACAAAAATCTTGAACGAAAACTGAACGAAAATTCAACTTCAGAAGGAGTGCCTTTTTCCCAGAAGAAGACATCTTTTCTTTTTTGCTTGTTTTGTCACTGCAAAGGCTAATTGAGTGAATCTAATATCGGCGTTTGATTGTCTTGTTAAATGCTTGCTTTCAACTTCAGGAGCACTTTTATGCCAGAAGAAGACACCTTTTCTTTTTTGCTTGTTTTGTAACTGCAAAGGCTGCTACATAGACACATCCAACAATAATACCGTTTACGTTTTAGCCGATCTTTGTAATCATTGCTTGCCATTTTACGTCGTGTTCGGCATGTATTTCGTGCACGAAGTTTCGTTTTGTTTTCGTTTTCGTAAACATAGACGATAGTGTGGCCTATGCTTTACACATCCACAGTAATCTGATACCTCTTACTATGTAAGTAAATAAATTGGAAGTTTGTAGGCGATGATTCTCCGTATAAAACAGTGCTTGATGCCCCAGAGAAGAGCATTAATATATGTAGTGAAATAAGCATATATACATATAATTCTTGTTAACTTCTTAATTAGTCTAAAGATGTCTTGAGTTAATACAAAACGTTACTCTTTTCATAAATTTCACAAAACTATATTGTTTATGGCTATGTTGAAAATAATACGTTGGGTTCTAAGATTTATATTGAGTACCCTCAAATTGGTGAAGGAATTCAGTGATTTATAACATAACCTGTAAATATTGAAGCGTTTTTTAAGTTCACGTTTGTATAATGTAGAAATTTACAGATAATTACTTATACAGTTGCTTGAAAACAATAGGCCTACATTTTTTTATGACCAACAGCAGAATATTGTCTAAAATAAATCCTGTGAATTAGTTTTCTTGGGATTAAGAACTAAAATACTATTGAAGTTTAACAAAACCTTTGAAAGCTGGTGTTTCGAATATGTATGGTAATCTAAGAAATAATATATGTCGACAGCAATTAACGGCATGAGTGCAACAGGCGAAATTGCTTATATGCTTGTTTTAGTATGTCACCCTATAAATAAACGTTTATTTCAATGTTAATTGCGAATGTATATCATTGTTGTTATGTATTCAATTGATGTCCATTGCTTCTTCTTGCCTCCCGTTTACTCTGCGAGGAAATTTCTTCTCCCAAATTTCTATCAATTCGAGAACATCTTTTCTTTTGAGCCTATTCTCAACGATCGTTTTCAAGGCCTTAATATTATGATTGCTATGTGGGTCGTTAGCCCATCTAGTGATGACCAATTTTGCCAGGCCCTTTCCACCTCTTGGTGTGCATAACCTTCGCATCTCAGCCCCATCAAAGCTGTAAAATAGTCAAAAGCACTCACCAGATCTTCTGAACTCATATCTTCATGGTCCAGATATCTATATATTTCGTTTGCTGTAGTGTAATCCATATCCTGAATTTCCAACATATCTCTGTATTTTGGAGGATTTTCTCCAGTAACGTCAAGCTGTGAAGTGCTTTCCAAATTTTCACTGGCAGAGGCACCTTAATTGAAGAGAAATCGTTATAACTTCTTATACGCTCGTTTGGATGCAAATTGCATGGTTAGTGAAAGTTTTTGTTGGTTTAGAAATTGAATATTTTTTGAAATCTAATTACCTTGTCTGTTAACATTTTGTAGAGTCAGAAGACTGTTAGAAATTTTCAGTCATGTCGGAAATGTAAACACAATTCTATGTAACTACTGAAATTCAGAAAGAATTCGCACAAAAGCGTGAGCGGTTCCATAAGGCAATTAATGCATAAATCTCACTATCCTTAATCTACTTTCTTTTATATGCTTCCGGTTCTCATGTATATATCTAGGTAAGCTCTTATCGTCGATACCAATTTTTAGTGAATCGAACTTTAAAAACATATAAGCAAGATATTTTATGGAATTGTCAATATTGTTGCCAATGAGGTGCCAGGCGGAAACGGATTCTCAATATAAATATTATAGCCCGACAAATATTTTTAAACATAGTCATAAACAATTTGGTTTTATAAAAATTGTTAAAAGAGTGACGTCTTTACTCAAGACATCTTCAGACTAATTAAGAAGTTAACAAGAATATAGATGTATATAGAGCTATTTACATAGTTTGAGGTATCAGGTTACTGTGAATGTGTAAGTGTGATGTGATGTATTGTGTGATGTAAGTGTGATGTAAGTGTGATGTATTGTTAGGGCGAGGTGTTGAGACTAGAAAAGCTTAAGAGGGATGGAGCTGCCTTGGGTGTTAAGTGAAGCTTTTTGTTTGGAGATGAGGAAGCTTTCGTGGATCATGAGGTCGAATGTGTCGGAGCAGAATGAGATGATTTTAAAATCGTCTGGCGAAACAGAGTGGTTGGAGGAGTTACTATGAGAAAGAATACTTGACATTAATGGGTTAGTATAGCGATTTCCAGTCAAAGGAGAGATCCCAAAGTGTTCCGAGATTCTGGTGTGTAAGTGGCGTGTGGTTTGACCCACATACGACGCGGAACAGCATCGACACGTGTATAAATAGACAACAAAAGATCTCAGAGACTTTGGAAAAAATGAAGAGATTCGTGGGGAGTGGGAAAGATAAATCTGACATTGAGATGAGAGAAAGCAGCGTTGTAGAGAGGATTGATTTGTGTGCGGATTTGTAAGGAGTGACAGCCTGTGAATGAGAGACAGAAATACACTATTTTCTTTGGGACAGTAGGCATAGGTGGTTTCTATTCGAATTTTGTGTCAAGGAAATGACGGACAATGTGGTCGAACATATTAGTTGGATAGCAATTGAGTTTGAGCAGTTTTCTGGTGGTTTCAATTTGGGCATGAAAAGTCATATAATTAGAGCAGGGTTTAAAAAAGCGGTGTAATAGGCCAGAGATTAAGTTGCGTTTGTAAGAAAGTGGGATAAAGCTGTGAAATTTTTTAAAAAGACCGGTGAATGTGCGTTTAAGATATAAAGAGGTGGTGAATTTGTCGTTTGAGCGGTAAATTTCAATGTCTAAAAACGGTAGTCGTCCATTATTTTCCGTCTTAGAGGTAAAAGTGATGTTGGGGTGTTGATGATTATTGTAGTCTAAAAAGAGAGGAACGTGATCAAGTGATTTAAAAGGAGAAAGCAAACATCGACATATCGTCTGTTTCTTTATTTATACATATCGTCGTATGTGGGTCAAACCACACGCCACTTACACACCAGAATCTCGGAACACTTGGGGATCTCTCCTTTGACTGGAAAACGCTATATTAACCCATTAATATCAAGTATTCTTTCTCATTGTAACTCCTCCATCCACCCTGCTTCGACATATGATTTTAAAATCATCTCATCCTGCTCCGACATATTCGACCTCATGATCCACGAAAGCCTCCTCATCTCCAAACTAAAACCTCAACTTAACACCCAAGGCAGCTCCATCTCTCTAAAGCCTTTCTAGTCTCAACACCTCACCCTAACAATACATCATACTTACATCACACTTACATCACACTTACATCACAAAATACATCCCATTACACTTACACATTCACAGTAACCTGATACCTCAAACTATGTAAATAGCTCTATATATATCAATATTCTTGTTAACTTCTTAATTAGTCTGAAGATGTCTTGAGTAAAGACGAAACGTCACTCTTTTAATAATTTTTATAAAACCAAATTGTTTATGACTATGTTTAAATATATTTGTCGGGCTCTAATATTTATGGATTGTCTTGAAAATTTGAGGAATTTTGTAGATTTACCACTGAATTCTCAAACATTGCATTGCCGGCATGCAGAAAGTTTTGGCAAAATCAAAAAAAGGAAATTGTCAAAAAATTTTCAAGGTTTAACTCAACTTCCAGAACTAAATTCCTGCCACTGTTCAGAGGTTTCTCTTGTAAAACAAGAGTACGAAAAAGTTTGGTGTACAATGAAAGTCAAACCTCTCAAAATGTTTTCCCTAGGCTCGTATATAATATACCCTTAATATACCTTAGCAATTTGTTTTTCAGGGAATAAGCTTTATTACTAGCATTTGCCTGGTATTTTATTATAATGTAATCGTTTTCGTTTCACTTAAAAACTTACCCCAACTTTTAGCCATTTTTTCCTATTTTAACGATCATTTACCTGCTAATAATTTACGTTCCGATTTTGGAGTATTTGTGTAACCTTCATTACTTTTGCTCTCCATATTTATAAATTTTTTGATTCTTTTTATATCTGAATTACAAAACATAAAGAAATTATCAGAAATAATATATTACTTGCTGTCTCTAATTCAAACCCTCAAATGTCACAAACCACTTATCGCATATTCAAGTGTATTCAAATATAGACCACACAACATGTATGATTACTACTGCTGACAAATCATTTGATTAAATATAGCCAGGCATTTAAAATTAGAATAACATTTCCACCTTCCGGGTATCTAGACACAATGTATGTTATTTTGATTTTACTGAAATCATACAATTAATTACTTCAATGGTTTTACGGCCAAAACCTGACCAAAATAATAAAAACAGTGTACTCTTACTAGAAGTTGCAAAAACTTTTTCTGAGCCATCAAATTTTTGTTCATTTCTTACTTGTCCATCTTGTCCAATAGTTTCTTTCACGGGTTTGATAAAATTGTTTAATTCTACGTTGCCGGTACAAACTTCAAAAAGGAAAAATTTTCTTGGTAAGATTTTTGTATTATATTAATCCAGGCGTTGTCTTCAAAATTTTTTGCAAGCAGGGATGCACACTACAGGTAGTGTGATGCCTCTCCCCCATAATTTCTGAGCTATGTCTTGTATACTTAACGAAAAAAGCTGGTTTTGCAAAAACCAGAAAAAAAATTTGTTTAAAAATTTGGTATTTTGACAGACTATCGATATCAAACACACAAAACAAACACAGCACAATTTAAGCAGAGAATATAATTTTAAATTTTGTGATAGTATAAACAACATGGAATCAGATGTGTTCCTTTTCGCAGTCATGTGTCGTGGGTAGCAAATCGTTGGAAGGGAAAAGTGTTTTATATGATAAGTAGAATGAGAGAAATTTTTGTTTATCGATCTGCATGTACAGTTCATATTAATATGTTCCTGATTTTAGATTTTACCTGAAGACACCGGTTAAAGGGAGGAGAGAAATTTCACCTGCTTACTCTATTTTAATGGAGACAAGAGGAGGGGGCTTAAGACAACAGTTCCCTTAAAAATAATGTCTCATTCGCAGGGATGTATTGCTATCGTTAATTGGGGGGAGGCTCTTACTCATATATTCATGATACGCTGAATTAATATCTTTTGAAATGTATTATTATCAAGGGATTTATAACAAGCATATAAGAATAAGAGCCCCACCAATGAGCGATAGCAAAACATCCCTGCTCTTTTGGACTTTTTTTCATTTCGAGACAGTTTAGTTATAAAAAACAGCATCTCAATAAATTGATATGAATAGAATTGACAGAGCTTCAATTACTACACATTGAAGTAAGACAGAAAAATTGTGATTTGTTGTCTCATCGAATGTTGTACAACACAAATCGTCAGTCTTTGAAATCAGCTGGTAGGTACATAGTTTTTTGTTTCTGTTTTAGTTAAACTGACATGATTTCAGCAAATTCTGTTTTAAATTCTCTTGAGCTAGATTTCCCCCCTTCCCCTGTGTCCTGTTGATTTTTCTGTGTTCCTGTTTCCATTTAAAGCAAATGCTTTTGACAGATAATGTTAACAGGTTGTTTACTTTAACATCACACGATGTTTTAGTTGTAATAATAGCGTCACTGATTTTAATTAAATAAAGTTAAATTTAGATTACTAGCTTTTAACACCAGCTTTTTTTACTGTTAACGTTATACAAGGGTTTCGTGGCAAAAAACTGTTAAATAAAGATTGCTTATTAGAATTTTTGGTCACATCTATTGATTTTAATCGCAACCTAACTGCTTGGTAAATAATGATCAGACACTAAATAGTCTGCTCACGTATAGCGTAATATAAATTTACATGAAATCAATTTCCTGTTTATGTCCAACAAAGTTTGGACAGATTGTTAGGGCAACTAATTGGTGAATATTTGTCAAGCCATGTTAGTTTCTGTTCTTTGGACTATTAAATATTACAGAATCTTTAATACTGCATTGGAAATTTAGCTAACGCAAATTGCATAATACAATTACCATTGGTTTTATTGCCTATCGTAGTTTCATTTGATGAAATCCCATGTCGAATCTTGATGATTTTTGCATCAACTTTGCCAGGAAAAGCTTTAGAAAACATCTTGTAAATATCCTTTAATTTCTTACTTTCCACAGCCTTGCCATTGACCTCCAATAGTCTATCTCCTCTTTTCAAGAGTTCTGTGCTTTCTTCAGAGGAAAATTGACCAACTTTCCAGATGAGAATGTGATCCTTCTCTTCGCAATCCCTTCCTATGTTTTAAATAATTGAGCACAAAATTCTTTTTGGTAATCTTTATCGATTACACTACGTGTTTAGCAATTAACTTCTTATTTATTATTTGCTCCCTTGTCTTTTAGGAGTTTAGAACTCTGCTGAACAGAGTAAGAAATAGAGTAGTTAAAACAAAATAAACCATAAATATATACCTAGTGTCGTTTTGTTAATGGAAAAACGTCTTTTACGTTCTTACCCTTGAATAGAAATGACCAAGGTTAAGTTTTTCTATGAATTCTTTCGGTTTTTTTATTTTGAAGGTAACCACTGTACTTTTTGAATCATCTGGCCACTCTGATTCAAAACATGTCAAAGGATCATCTGGTTTTTTGGTATATACCCTAAACGTCATCTCCTTATTGTTGAATAACTCAGCGAGCTCGTTGTGTTCAAGATTTCGTGTGTCTTGGTCGCCCACATTTGTGATCCAAAGGTAAGGCATTATATTGGCCTTTGCAGCAGAGTTGTTTTTTTCGACATGGCTGACAATGTGGTACCACGTGTTTGTCAATTTATCCTGATTGTGAAAGTAAGCTTTTAGTTAAATTTATCTTAAACTTTAGAACAAATTAAATAAGCCCAGCAAACAATATCCAAGTAAGTACATAAGATTTTTTACAATTAAATAGTGGATATTATATAGTATAAATTTTCTGAATGTAGTACAATTCAACAGCAAAGCATTGCAATGAAAGACTGGTAAAATGTTGTTTACAAACCAGTAGCGTAGCTATGCCAGTAAGTTTGGTCGTGCTATATAAATCTAAAATTATAAACAATTTCTTCCAAAAGAAATAAATTATGATCAAATTAGAATAGCACGACCAAACTTTCCGTCTGGTGAGTCACATCTGCCAGAGTGAGACAGATAAAATTGACAAATAACCTAATATATTCGTGTTATTCTATAACCCACAGGATAGTGTAAAAATAAGTCAAATAAATGATGTGACTATAAAGTGAGTCTGCCATATGAATTGGAATTATTCTGCAAAGGCAGAAGTTGTCAAGCAATAGTGATAAAAGTTGACCTCAAATTAAAATACCTCAAGTGAATGAAACTTTAGGCCCAGTTTGCTGTCTGGAGTATTTCTTTTTATAACATGTTCAACAGGCTCATTCCATGTAAGTAAATCTGGCCACATCAGTATATTTCTTTGATCTTTTGTCAAATCATCCCATTTTATATCTGTCTCCATACTAATTATAACAGTAGAATTATCTCAAAACAAATAGACAAAAAAAATGTAATCCTTGAAGGCTTCATCATGGTTTACATTATAATTTTCAAAAAAATACCACTATGCAAATATTTTTCACAATAATTAATTATCATTATTTCAATGTAAATATCGCGTTCGTGTGTACATTGTATTTTGATAGATTGAGCAAATTGAATAAGTCTTTCTTAGTAAGGAGCAAAGCACTATGCAACTGATGGTGTAATTCCAGTTGCAGGAAGACAAGAAATAAAAATTTGACGTACAAGTAATACTCAAACTGATAATGGATGTGAGCTAAACTGCAAAAAGCAAGTTTTAGGTTTGTTCGTTACTTTCATGAATACATTGATGAAATTTCCTATGGAACATGTCGTTTTCTTACGAACATAGCTAACAACAAAATTTTTGCAGTCAAACGTTCCCTAGCATAATAATTCTTATCAAACGAGCTTTCAGCTCTTTTTCTACTGCCTTGACTGGTTATAATAGACACGCTTATCTGGAAGTCAAATTACGTGTATTACTCCCGCGAGGTTACACGTTAGGCGAGACACTTAAAACAACATGTTTTTAACTTAGATTTTTTTGATTTTGTTCAAAGAAAAACAATCGTATATAATGTTGACATGAATAATGTTCATGTATTCTTACAATAACAAATTTCGATTGTTATTTTATGTTTGTGTTTGTGAACACAACATAAAATAACAATCGAAATTTTATTAACACAAACAAAACATTGTTTTCTTGTAAGAAACAAATATAAAACGTGTTTTAACAAAAACTTATCATCATTAATGTTGACTACGTTGTTATCTTATTTATGTATGCGAATACGTGTAAATTTTGACTAGTTTTTACTGATTACAGAAGCAATTACACAAGCAATTTGAAGCTCGTTAAATTCATTTTTTCACGAAAATGTAACATTTTTAAAATGTTTATGTTTCATCCAAAAAATTCAGCTCCTACTTTATAAAGATTTAATTACATGTATCTGACACACATTAGAGAGTGGAAAGGATATTTAAATGACATAGCTAATGCCTTTTGAATCAAATGAAAAAATCAACTTAAGGTGTGCAAACACACTTGAGCATTTAATGAGATATTGCAATACAATCGTAAGACAATTAATAATCAGTGGTGTAGCCAGCCTGTAAATTTTGGTCCTGCTATGTAAATTGTAGGCTATTAACATAGTTCATTTCTTTAGAAATTTATTGTTTTTACAGTGAGTGAACACGAACAAATTAACATAGCAGGACCGAATTTGCGGGCTGGCTTCGCCATTGTAAATAATAATACATGATGTGCTCTGTGTTTGTTCGCTCAGATTGGATTTTATTTTTTAGAGCTATAATAGTGTTTCATACAGTCACTGTGTCTCACAACAAAGTTTTGTCTCTTGATTAAAGCCACTCACTTTTAATTGAAAAATTTTGTTGTTATAATCGCAAATAAATTATACTTTAGTAAATCAAACAACCATCTAGTGTAGGATATTACTTTTTAAACAATGGAAATATCAGATTTCTTTTCATCGAAAATTACATAAGTCACGCAAAAAATGTCAGCATTAAAAACACCAAAGTTTTGTTATTTAAAATGTCTTTTAATGTGCTGCTAGGCAACTGTATTATGTAAATCATTGCATCAAGCAAAAGAGATCACAAATCAAAATTTACTATTTGCATGCATGATAACTAAACAGAATAAATTCTTCAAAGATTTTTCCAGATAAAAATACTGATAATACAAGACCTTTCCTTGGCATATTACGTGAAAGCAAAAAAAGGATTAAACCAAAATTAAAGCTTTGGGGATTCCCCGATAAAAAAAGGGGAGTTTAATAATTTTTTAAAAATTGTTCACAGCGAATAAGTGCTTGAATATCAAAAAATATATAAGTTACTTAATCAAAGTATAAAACAATAAAATACAGTTCCTAGTGCGAGCATGGTAAACCAGAAATGTTTGCATTATAGTTCGTAATATCAAAGGCTTAAATTACAATTATATATTCAAGATAACAAAAGTCTGAAGGCAACTTGCCGACTCTGCGATAATTTTACAGCGAAATGTTTCGTTATTACGTTTAAAGTACGTTTATATATCAGTTATTCGTGCAAAGGCAAATGTAAAAGATTAATCACCAAAACAAATAACTTAAAGTGAGACAACATCTCCCTTCGGTAGTTAATATGACTTGATAACAACATAATGTTTTTTAAAAAGTACCTTACGTTGTATTCTGAAATTTCTTTATTGTGCTTTCCACGAGACTATTGACTGCCTATACCACGTCATACGTCTTAAATACTGACATCATATTGTTGTAAGATGCATTATCTTGAATTGCTGATCTCAATTGTTCCGATCATCCAGACCTCATAGGGGATTTCCCAAGTGCTGTCAACTATTTCTTGTCAACTCATTTGTGTAAGCAATCTTCTAAAGACTAAACACGCGTAGGCGTCATGACATTAAAATCAACAGCAGGTCACTTCTCGTATAGAATACTAATTCTATTACGTTATTAGCTATAGTCGTTACGTAGGTAGGAGATAGAGCACTGTGCATGAATTAACCAGTTGTGCTGTACATGTGAACCAGTGAGCACGCGTTGGTTATCGCTTGCCATGGATTTTGGACTTTTTGGATTGGAAGAAGTTCCCTATAAAGCAGATTTCCGCTTCCACGAAGTGCGAAGTATTTTGCTTAAAATTTGATGTAGCGCATGCGCAGTTCTATTCTTTCAGTTGTCTTCTGACTCTGCGCATGCGCCTCATCAAATTTCACGCAGAAAACTCCGCACATCGTGTAAGTCGAAATCTACCTTTACCTTGGAATTTAAGAAGCTAAGTTTCTTTGGTCTATAGTAGTATTTACGCTTTGATTTTTTATTGAAAATATGTCTGCCTGCGAGCTTACTCTTGACGCCAAACAAATCGTGTTTTAAACTGAAAGCTCTGCAGTACAATATACCATGGCAGAAACCAAATTACTACAAGACACAAGGTTGTAAAGCACTTAGTAATTTAATTACGAGTAATTTCTTGAATTGCTGACGGTTGGTAAGTTTATAACTATGCTTGATTACAACAACTTTAAATTTTAAATCCATCGCATGTATATTTGGATAGCTATAACAGACACAAATGTCCAATACACCGGTGACATATTTTATTGTTGACTGCGGAGAACGTTGATTCATAGAGCATATTCAAGTGGGCAAACGTATACGTAGAAATAAAGATTTGATAATTTAACATCGACTTCTTTCAAAATTTTCCAAGCAAAAAAATGTTTTTTTAAACCCACGACTTTACCCGCGACATTTTAGCCGCAACATTTTAGCCGCAACAGTTAGATACACTCGTCCGCTTCTTAGTAGGGAATTAAAACAAATGTGTAACCACTCAAATAAACCTGACGATTTCTGTTTAGTAATGACCTTAACAAAACCATGAGAGAATCTAAATTGCCAGGCAAGATGCTAACCCGCGATTTCACACCACGCTCACGTTTTGCGCCACACAAAGCGAACTAATTTTTTCTCCAGAAAGGGGAGGGGTTACTTCTCTCCCCGGCAACAACAATTTCGACAACCATTTCGCCCTCAATTCAGACAACATTTACAAAATTGCTGAAACCTGTCTTGTGTTATTTACGAATCATACTTTAATAGTATACAAAGATGACATATTGATTCTTGCAACAACATACAAAGATGCGAAAAAACGGTTATAGAAGCCATTAAATTGTTTTCAAGTTTAGGTCTATTCACGTAGAAAAATCTTTCTTCATCCCGCAACAGAAAACTGTGATTTTGGGTTTTGAGTTAGACTCGACCACTATGAAAATACAAATAACCTCGGAAAAATTTTCCAAAATCATGCTCAAATTTCTGCTCTTTCAAACTCAAAATGCACCAAACTATTCAAGCTCATGACTCCTTAGCGTCGCAAAGAAAATAGTGTATTTTTGTCTCCCATTCACAGGCTGTCACTCCTTACAAATCCGCACACAAATGAATTGTCTCTACAACGCTGCTTTCCCTTACCTCAATGTCGGATTCCCACTCCCCCCCGAATCTCTTCATTTTTTCCCAAGTCTCTGAGATCTGGTGTTGTCTACTTAAACACGTGTCGATGCTGTTCCGCGTCGTATGTGGGTCAAATTCCACGCCACTTACACACCAGAATATCGGAAAACTTGAGGATCTCTCCTTTGACTGGAAAACGCCATACTAAACCTTTAATGTCAAGTATTTTTCTCATACTAATTCCTCCAACCACCCTGCTTAGCCAGACTATTTCAAAATCATTTCATCCTGCTCCGACACTTTCGTGTTCCACGAAAGCCTTCTCATCTCCAAACTAAAGCCTTCACTTTACACCCAAGGCAGCTCCATCCCCCTTTAAGCTTTTCTAGTCTTAACAACTCACCGTAACTATTCATTGCATCGCACTTAAGCCTAGGCCACTCTATCGTCCATATATCGACGAAAATTAGAACGGAAACTGCCGCAACAAAAATCTTGAACGAAAACTCAACGAAAATTTCGTTTTCGTGCATATTTGAAGAGTTGAACTTTTCACCATTTTTGTTAACAAAAACGCATGCAATTGGCTAATAATCTAAAACTTTCTACACAAAGATGGCGGGTGGCATGAGGTTTTAATAAATTTGATGCGAGAAAAAGCAATTTGTCGTTATTTGCAGGTATTTTATGAGTATGTTTTCTTTGTCGATTGTCGTAACTCATCAATCAAATTGTTAAATCCCAGCCAATCACGTCGTTTATTAAATGGGTGAATCTAGTATCGGCGTTTGATTGTCTTGTTAAATGCTTGCTTTCAACTTCAGGAGTACCTTTATGCCAGAAGAAGACACCTTTTCTTTTTTGCTTGTTTTGTCACTGCAAAGGCTACTACATAGACACATCCAACAATAATACCGTTTACGTTTTAGCCGATCTTTGTAAACATGCTTGCCATTTTACGTCGTGTTCGGTATGTATTTCATGCACGAAGTTTCGTTTTGTTTTCGTTTTCGTTTTCGTGCATATAGACGATAGTGTGGCCTAGGCTTTACACATCCACAGTAATCTGATAACTCTAACCATGTAAATAAATAAATTGGAAGTTTATATGTGATGATTCTCCGTATAAAACAGTGCTCGATGCCCGAGAGCAGAGCGTAAATATATGTAGTGAAATAAGTATAATACATATAATTCTTGTTAACTCCCTAATTAGTCTGAAGATATCTTGAGCCAATACGAAACGTCACTCTTTTAATAAATTTCACAAAACCAAATTGTTTATGGCTACGTTGAAAATAATATGTTGGGCTCTAATATTTATATTGAGTACCCTTAAATTGGTGAAAAAATTTGGTGATTTATAACATGAACTGTTTTTAAGGGGAGCGTTTTTTTGAGTTTCACGTTTATATAAGATTGAAATTTACAGATAATTACTCATACAGTTGCTTGAAAACAATACGCCTAATAAACTGACAGCAGAATATTGTCTAAAATAAATCCTGTGAATTAGTTTTCCTGGGATTAAAAAGTAAAATACTACTGAAGTTTAACAAAACCTTTGAAAGCTGGTGTTTCGAATATGTATGGCAATCTAACAAATCATATCTGTCGACAGCAAGTAACGGCATGAGTGCAGCAGGCGAAATTGTTTATATGCTTGTTTTAGTAAGTTAATTACGAATGTATATCAGCGTTGTTATGTATTCAATTGATGTCAAATGCTTCTTCTTGCCTCCCGTTTACTCTGCGAGGAAATTTCTTCTCCCACTTTTCTAACAATTCGAGAACATCTTTTCTTTTGAGCCTATTCTCAACGATCGTTTTCAAGGCTTTAATATTATGATTGCTATTTGGATCGTTAGCCCATCTAGTGATGACCATTTCTGCCAGGCCCTTTCCACCATTTGGTTTGCATGACTTTCGCATATCAGCCCCTTCAAAATGAGTAAAGTGGTCAAAAGCACTCACCAGATCTTCCGAACTCATATCCTCATGGTCCAGATGCCTATATATTTCGTTTGCTGTAGTGTAATCCATATCCTGAATTTCCAACATATCTCTGTATTTTGGAGGATTTTCTCCAGTAACGACAAGCTGTGAAGTGCTTTCCGAATTTTCACTGGCAGAAGCACCTTAATTGAAGAGAAATCCTTATAACTTCTTATACGCTCGTTTGGATGCAAAGTTGCATGGTTATTAAAGTTAATGCTGGTTTAGCAATTGCATATTTTCTGAAAGCTAATTACCTTGCCTCAGTTGAAAATTTGCCGTCTCCGGTTCATAATTGTCACCCATAACTTCCGAACTTCTGTAAGAGAAAATTCAAGGGACGCTTACTTTCTTACGAAAAAATTGCATTAGATTTTTAATTTTTCAAGGTTTTACCAGTAGACTAAACTGCAATGATCAGGGGCAGATCTAGGAGATTATGAAAGAGGGGACCGAACTCTTTGTATTAGTTTGAAAACTGAAACTTGTTCAATTTGTTGGGGTTTTTCTAGCGAAAGGGGGGCTACTTCGCCTCCTCATATCAGCCGCTGATGATAAATTTTGATAACCATATTCATTTAAAAGAAGAACGAAGAATAAAATGTTTGAAAGACATGGACAAAGATGATTTTCCTCTGGACAGTTTTAATTGTACATTATGCTGCCCATGTTGTTTACATTATTACGAAAATATTTACCAGTAATTTTCTTTATTATATGTTTGTAATTGATGATCGTCCAGGTTAATAAAGTCCTGAGAAGGACTGTTTTTGTTGTTGTAGACTGACGTTTCGACAACCTTAGCGGTAGTCATCTTCAGAGTCATTTGACCTGGACGATCATCAATTACAAACATATAACGATACTCCCGGGTTCAAACCATTTACTTTAATTTTCTTTATGTTAGTCATGGCGGTAAGTTAGGATAATTCACGCGAGTTGCATTTTCTAGACCTATTTTGCACGTAGAATCCGAATCCGGCTGTTATTTAAACTGACAAGGCTGCATCAAAGAGTTATTGCTTGATATGACGTAATTTAGCCTCCATCATTTGTGAAATTCTTATTTCGAAAATTTTAAGTCGTTGTTGAAACGAATGCATGCAAAAAAGGTCTACAGGACCGATTTTTTAAAGTAACATTCACTCGACTAGGTTTTTATTACACAACAAATTATACTTGAAGCCTTGGTTAACTATTTGGTACGTGATCTCCCCGTTATACAGATATGTTATAGTAAATGTATTGCAATTCTTAAGGCCCGTTCACACAATCCGATTTCGTCGGATCCGAAATATAAAGTGAGCTTCCGACAGTCGGATCCGTCAATCTAAAAAATTGGATGGAAATAGAACGTGCTCTGTTTTCATCGGACAAGATCAAAAGAAGCCGACTAGCCAAATTACATAGATTTGAAAAAGGCTTAAAAACAAGAACAAAAATATCATAAATATATCGATAAATACACTGGATAACACAAATGGTTGTTTAAACGACTATAGATATCTAAACGATTAAAACGAATATAAATATGAGCAAAATGATCAGACCGTCTGAACAAGCAACCAAAAGTCGGAACCGAAAAATTCGGATCGTGTGAACGGGCCTTAACAAAGAACCATGCCATAGGAAAGTTGAAATTAGACTATAAAAGTAAACATTAGAATTTGTATAGTAAGCAATAATAACAAAACAAATTGGTGCATTTTTCATTATCCAAACTCAAATCGTAAGAGCTTTCCTCTTCACACGAATCCTAACTTTTACTCATTTACTTGTTCCACCTTCTTTTTGTTTCTTTTGTCCATAATACGTACTTTTCAAGTGCACCAAACAATTCTTCACACACATCCGTACCAAGTCGGACGAACATTTTCAGAAACATTGGATCTGTGCTTGCAAGTTTCCTACACAAGAGCTTCGCTTTGCGTAAAAGACTTGCCACGAATCATTTCAGATCCAGTAAATGCATGAAGTCTGACCAACTTGTAAGAGTGCACAAGTTGTGAACTTCAAGTGAAGGAGCTTTCTTGTCTTGCCAACTCCGTATCAATGTAAACTTGCTTTTAATGGTGATTGTTTCTATTCCAAGTAAGATGACGGGGATGTTGACATCACCAGATCTTGATCGCACCACACATGTTGCTGCTTCGTCATTACGATTCTTTACAGCAAGCTGAATCAAATACTCAATTTTAGTTCAAAATGATGCACAACTGCCCGGAGTTCTGCATGCCGGTATAATCTGCATTCTTGACTTAGCAACAACTATTCGTAGCATTTACTTTATAACTATTCGTAGCTTAGTGAAGATACCAAAGACATTTAAAGATCTTGCCATTTGACTATTCTCTGATTTCCCAAGGTAATATGGCGTTGTCTACGGTGCATGTCATGCAAACAAAGTTCAAGTAATAAAGAATAGACGAGAACGAAACCTTCGCGGTGGTAGCGACAAGTATGCTGTTAGAGCAAACATTTGCGGGTGCCTGCTGATTTTTTCCGTTTAAATAAAATTCTACTGATTAGAGCCAATTTGATATACTAACGAATATTTTCTGTTGGGTAGAAGTTAGCTGATTTTATTGCTGCATACAGATCTTATGTGCGAACTTTTCAAGCGGCTATGATAATAAGTTGTGACGTCATAAGTGAGACACATTTAATGTATGAACTATATACTTATAGGGCCAACGCCACGTTCTTCTTTATTTTTTTTAACTTTTTCGCCTAAAAAATGAATCCTGCTCATTGATTTTGTATAATATGCTAAAATACGTATTGTAGAGACAGATGGCTGGAAATTTATTAGCTAAACCGCTGTTTAGCACGTACACCTCTAGCGCTGACATGCAAAGCGCCGGCTCGTATTTTTGTTTTTCCAAGAAAATACTTTTTTTGAGTTCGATTGTTAGAAGCACATTAGAAAGTTTAAAACCGTTTTAGTCATCCAAATGGGTTAGGGTTATGGTGAGTGTTAAGGTTAGGGTGAGGTATCAATGTGAACTATTATTAGAAGGCAGAATTAACATCAGTTGAAGGATATCACTTCAAGCACCATTTTACCAGTAGAATTTAAGGTTAGGCCATTTACAAAAACCTATAATTTCCCTCCGGATATTGCTTGCACCCACTGTATTTTTAGACAGCGCTAGAGGTGTGCGCCAAGCTGCAGTAGCCCCAATTTATTTGTTATAGATGATACTTTTTCGAAACATTCTCTGTTATGTAAGTCTAGATTTGATATATCGAAGCAATGGCATGATGACTCTATCAATGCGATTTATTTATGTCTTTTTTCTTGTTAATCTCATGATTCTCAAGTAAATAGCTTAAAATACTCTGCGAAAAAATTGCATTAGCTCAATCTTGTTGAAATTTTTGAGCTTTGTTGTGATGCTTTCAATAGCCTCACAGAAATAGCACGACAGTGATCAAATGTTTTAAAGAGCAGCAAAAATAAATTACTGAATTAGGTACACCATAGAGAGAGCAGGTGTTAAGAATACAGGGGCACCACTAAAAGACAATGACTGCTCAATATTGCTGGCTTTGCTTTGCATTTTGATGATTACTAATTGCACAATAATGACAAAAATTCCGAGTAATGGCGCACAAAAAATATGCAACGCGTTTCACATGCGAGTTGCCATTCTATGTATTCTCCATTTCATTATAGACGTGTGTTTCACTTATGACGTCACAAGTTAATAAAGTTCGCACAAAAAATGCCAAAAAAGTTCAATTTCATGTCTGATTTCAAATATACAGGTTCGATGGCGAATTTTTTTCATTCGATAAAAAAAAATTACAGGATCAAAATTTGTTGCACAAGCACTTTGCAGCCAATTGGGACAACAAAACGTTGAATTCATCAAAAAGGTGTGGGTTGAAAGCAGTAAAGAATCATAAGAATCGTAATGACGAAGCAGTTACATGTGTGGTGCGATCAAGCTCTGATGACGTCAACATTCCTGTCATCTTACTTGGAATGTTACCAATCACCAATAAAAGGAAGTTTACATTGATACGGTGTTGGCAAGACAAGAAAGCTCCTTCACCTGAAGTTTTCAACTTGTGCACTCTTACAAGTTTGGAAAAGGAAGCGTTGGTCAGACTTTATGCATTTACTGGGTCTGAAATGATTCGTGGCAAGTCTTTTACGCAAAGTAAAGCCCTTGTGTAGAAAACTTGCAAGCACCGATCCAATGTTTTTGGAAATGTTCAGCCGACGTGGTAGGGAGATGCATTTGAAAAGTACGTATTATCTATCTTTATATGGAGAAAAGAAACAAAATGAAGGTCGAACAAGTAAATGACACAAGATCAGCTATTTTCTGGAAGAAGTTTGGCAAAAATCACAAAGTCATAGACAGAGTAATGCCTACATGTAGCTGTTGCTCCTATTTCCTTGTGGCTTTTCATGCACACATGCCTACTACTTGCCATAATTAACGGTCGAACATCAAGCTCAAAGTTATGGATTCTGTAAGGATCTTCGCAGATTGAAGACCAAACAAAAATAATATAGATCTTATTGATTTTTCATATTTTTTGAAATAGTTAATACTATTAAGTGTGACCAGTTTTTAAATTGTTTTCACATGCATTCTATTTAAGCCCACAGCATTGACATAGAGGTATTCAAATCTTCACCAAACTTCGAACAAATTCTATTTTACACTTGACTGAACTACGCTTAGCAAGTGGATTACCTTTTTATGTACTCTAGTTAGCTAAATTCAATGTTAATAAACATAAATTACCACGACAAAGATAGATATTACTTAATTCAAAAAGTTTTATAGTTTGTATTATAGAAGGTTTTCATACAATGTTCTGTCCCCTTGATTAAAAATCGTACAAAGTCATTTGCATAATTTTTATTATGCACTTGTTGAGAAGGATTGAAAATGAACTCGTTAGCTATGTTCACTCCAAATCGATTATTTTCAATCCTTTAATTCAACTCGTGTATAAAATCGTACGCCCTACCAGCAATGAAGTAATCTATTATAATGCTGCAAACACAAGCTTCGATGTGGCGGATGTCAACTTTGACGTTGCGAATACAAATTGTGCAAACAAGGGTAAGAATTTAGGGGGAAATTAATTGTACGCCATATAATAGTATGTTCGAAATATGCAAATTTATTACAGATATGGCCAAATTTTCTCGAAACTTAGTTTATTTGCTTTGTCGTAAAAGCAATTACAATTTTAAGATGAAAAAATCCTGTAGATGCTAGAACAACAAAATTAAGCAAAAAAAATCGCGCAAAAATAATTCCAGGGCAAAACAACCTGGCAACACTGTTCGCAAGGGACTCCCCTTTAGCACATGGATTCCCCTCATCGAGCCACTCATATTTCTACGTTCCAAACATCTAAAGCGTTGCGCGCTTTGCGCACATATTGCTTTTGCTTTTATTTGTATATTGACATTGTTTGTTATTAAAGTTAGTTCATTTAAGTTTTGATCATTGACAGAATTTAAACTGTACAGCGTTTCTATACAGACTTCTCACTCGACGAATAGTGTCGCTCGCCAACATGATTGTTTGTTTATATACCTATATGGCTCAAGCCAACTGCAAACTTTTAACACATCCATTTAGTGGTCAGCTGAAGATGTCAGAAGGAAATACGAAACGTCACATTACAATTTCTTTTTGTACATTTCTACAGTTAATATCGTTTATATATCGCTTTTTGACCTCTCGTATTTGTGTTGTAATACGCTTTCCGATTCGAACAATTGTGGCTACCGACGAATGTTATGAATATTTGTAACATACCAATATTGTCGTAGTAAATTTGCTACCTGAACACAGGCAGCCAACACATCGAACGAGCAATTGTCCCACGAAATTTGTCACTGAAATTTATGATCTTTTACGATAAATGGCTAAGAAATATTTTGGTATCAGTTGGATGACAACTAACGAGTCAAACATTGTCTGGCAACATTACCAGCATTACATTATATTTCATGCATTTTGTCATTTAATTACCTCTGCCGTATGAAAAAACTGTCTTTAGTTTTTCACAAAAAACGACTGACTTGCTGTAACATTTGTCTTTCGTTGACTAATATAGTTGTTCAGGAAGTGAGTACAGAAAGGAATGCACACTGGACATTCAGGTGAGGTGATCTGGAACTTTACGAAGATGGATGGATAATGGAAGATAAAAAATAGATAGACAGTCGTGGTATTGAACAGACATCTAACCAAACTTAGCATTAGAGAATATTGATATAAAGAGTCTGACAGCCAGAAACACCAATGGTCTCCTGTGATTCTTAATCATTGTGATCAACAAAATGGAAATGTATAGCAGTTTAGAATTTTAAAATTTTACACCATTACATTATTTATTTAACTTTAAATGTGTTGAAACCTGAAAGCATAAAGCAAATTAAAGCACATTTATTTTGAAATTATTTTGCCCACTTGTATTACATATATATATATGTAAGCTCTCCATCACTTGTTCTACAGTATAAACAAATCTAAATCAACTTATCAAGAAAGGTAAGATAACATTGAAAATTCTAGACATTTTATTCTCCATTTCCCTGGTTTTTTGTTAGACGATGGTTTGATATCACTTTATGTACTAAATTTTGACATATTTTTATAGAATATAATCTTGCCAATTGTGTTTTATGCTTTGAATGTGCCAGTGGCAATTTGTTAACAACATATTCATGTAGTATAAAGGGAAAATCAGTAATAGTCATTTTACATTATATATAACATTTTTAATGTTCAAGGTAACTGTTAAGGAAACTAATTACCATCTTAGATATATTACATATTTGTAAAATAAAATCTACAAATTTTGGCTGTCACTATTTGTACATATTTGTATATATATCAAAATGGAAAGTTGCTATTAGTCACCTTGAACATTGAAATATTGATAAAGTGGCTTTTGTGTGTGCATGCACACATGAATGTACATGCACATATATATATACAAGCACCAAGTCGAAGCTCAATAAATCATTAATAAAATCCAGAGAAACTCTTACATTGAATACAAAATATAACAATTCTTTCTATAGTTACAACTTTGAGTTTCCCAGCATTTTATTCTTTGATTCATTATATGCATTTTGACACTTCCAAGTGACATTTGTCTTGTGGAAAACTGAATCTGGCATTGTTGGTGAACACTTTTTGTGGAACCACTCCAAGCATTTGTCACACTGAGTACAACCATAGGTCTGGGTTTTCAAGATCTTTCTGGTTCCATGGCATTCGACAGTGTAGCACATCAGTGAAAATTTCAATTTTCTTTGATTTGACTCTTGTCATCAATTTTCCTTTTCTTTGTCGAAGGGGGAGTGAACTCATATTTTTTCAGACAACTCAACAAGTGTGATCGCATGGAACCTTCATTATACATCAAAGTTGTTGGATCTTGGTTAAAAAGTAATGACACAAGAAATGCAATTGCAAACACCCCACAGTCAACATAATTGGATTGATAGTGGACATGTGGTATGTTGATTGTGATTGATGGTGATGGCTCATGGAGTAGGTTAGCAATTTGTTGTTAAAGAACTGACTCTTCCATTGTACAAACTGTCATATAAATTGACTGAAGCAGGCTGACAGTCAATATTTGAAACCAATACCCAGTGATGAGTACCTGTGTGGAGAATCTGGAAAAAAGTACCCTGATGTACTGGTTTCTAAACCAGTGTTGTGTTTTCTAGACCAAGTACGACAGGAAATTGTTTCTGCAAAACATTATGTGCAGCACCAATGATGTGATCTGTTAACTTTTTTCCGGTGATGATTATATTTATGTCAATGTCACTAAGTTTAAAAAATCCACGCTTTGGGGTCTGAACGATCTTTTCCAGTTTATCACCTGATTCTTTGTTCAAGGGCTCAATAGGTCTGTAATGGAAAGAGTTTATTTCATCTGTCACAATATTTGAATCATTTCGTCCAATCTTTGCTAGCTTTCCTTCTATTTCTGTTAATGTTGAAGCATAACTCTTTTAAAGTTGCTGCTTTTGCACCACTTCGACCTGACCAGGATTTTTCTTTGCCGATTTTGGGATGGGTTTAAACGGATTTACTAAACACTTGCTATTTTGACGCTACATTTTGGGGCAGATTTCTTTGTATCTGGCACTTCCAACACTAAACCATTTTCCTTTGGAGAAACATCAGTCAGTATTTTATAACATTCATCCAATTTGACCTTTTACTCATGCAAAACATTGCCATTTCCCCATCCCTCAGCAACATAAGTTAAATTCTTTATTTGTCCCAACCGTTCTCTGCACCTTGCGGCTTCTGTTCTATGTGAAGATGGCTTTCGTTTTAGCTCAGCTACAATGGTGGGGAAAATGTTCTTGTCCTTAGTTACGTGGATTTCGTTTTCCTTTGGTGCTTCGACGGTTCGTGAAGAATCATCGGAGTGACATTGGCTTACCTCAAATGTCTTTGTTTCCATTACAGACGTGCAACCTATTCGATCAACTGTTAAAAATGGAGATTCCGTGTACGACTTCGGTAGTTTATCAAATGACCAAAATGGAAAGTTCTCGAAAATCGCAAAGAAGTGCTTACATGGCAACCTGTGTCTTTCCCAGTCATAACAATCACAGCTTGGAAGATCACCTGGATCACTTCCAAACGACAATGTATAAAACTTGCATATGCCGTCTTGACTACGAACTTTGAAAATTCCATGCATTTCGTCAACAACCATGATGTTTGATGCAAGGGTATCTTCTGACGATGCAAGTCTTTCCATACAATGCCTAATCATAGAGTGTGGTCTTTCGTGAAGGTATGACGGGACATCATAATTGTACTGCCTGTAATTGCTCTGCAATTTCGTATTTAATTCGACGTATCTGTAAAATTAGACAAGAATTTCCAACGTTGTTGCTGCTAAAATACTAGCGCTAAAGCAGAGCAGCATTCCCAGCCCGTTTTTGTACCTCTACAAATCATATATTTTGTGTTTAATCAATGGAAAGAATGGCATCGAATTTCTAAAGAAATGAACAATAATGTTGCTGAGAAATCTGGTTTGTTGGAGGAGATCGGGCTGGCTTTTGCCATCGCCTAGAGACTTGTTCAAGTAAATAAAAGAAAAAATAAGTACTTGAAATAAAGATCGGGCAAAAAGTCTTCAATTAGCACTGTCAGCATGACGCTCAACGTTGAATTCTTGTAGCCATCCAAATATTCATGCTTGAAAGCTTTGTTTTGCCTTTCCACGCCATTATTTGTGTTTATGACTGTTAGCAGTCGATCTTTTCGAAAGGTCCACACCCATTTCTATAAATTTTGTCCGCGCGAGAAAATTAACGAAATCATTATGTATTGTAATTATTGATGAGCACTGTAAGAATGATATTATTAGCAAATTATAAAATTCTCTTGCCTTGTATTGGGATAACCATGTATTGCCAAACCAGTTGCGCAGTTTTGGGTTTGTCTTCCATTCTTCTGATCAGTGGCGTGGTGGCAGGGGGCAGGCCAGGGCCCCCTAGCTGTTGATTTTAGGGGGCGCTGAATTGGATACGAGTAATCAAGTTTTAAATATGGGCTGTAAAAAATTAAAAACGCATTTGAAACAGAACAGTTATTTTCCCAGTTATATATTCAGTGGATGAAGTTAACTTTAGGGAATTGGGAAGAAAGGAAGTAGACGGACCAAATGAAACCTTGTCAGGGGTCGATTAAAGAATAAGATATTGATGAGCATTCTAGAATTAGATGTTTCGTTTGTGGCACAACGCGTGCATGATTTTGTCACGATGACTGTAGACAACATACATGCAGGGAGAAACTAGAACGCTAATTGGGATGAATATTCTTATATTCAGCTTTGCCCGCTGATTTCTATTGAATTTAACATCGCCAACAAAAGAAATCAACAGCAAGGCAGAGCTGAATATATGAATATTTACACCACCCCCAGTTAGCATTCTAGTTTCGCCTATATACACGGCCAAACTGTCCTCTTAAGGGGCGCAACAAGGCCTAAAATGTGTAATTTTTTGCTTATCTTAATCAATGTTTTTTGCTTCCCTCACAGACAGTAATCGTTACTGGCATTGTATCTTATTATTAATCCGAGCGTAGTAATATATTTTTTAAAAATGACAGTAGTGCAGTCATCGGTAAATTGCTATCATAAATCATAGTCTAACGTGAAGTAGCCCTTAATGATACCGCAGCATGTACTGTGTTATTGTTGGTATTGTGTTATTTACATTTTCATCGTTACGACGACACATTTGTCATTTTCAGTAGTAAAGCAAGTTATTATACGGTAAAACTTTTAAATCACTTAAAGCTTCTTCGTAAATGTTCAAGATTCATTTATCCGCAGTTATCGAATGTGAATAACAGCATACATTTAATTGAAATTAAGATATTTTTAAACAACAACATTTGAAGACCAATTAAATTAATGTCTCAAAATGCAAAACTCATTTTGAGCTTCCATTGCTGGCAATACAGATTTAATTCACAAAACAAACATTTCATTTGATAATTCCATTTGTGTTGGGAAATCTATTTTAATATTATTTATTGTACATCATGGATCATGGGGCAATGTTAAAGACTAACTACAATGTCTAATTCTTTCAACACCACGAAGAGAAAAAAGTCGGGTGCTGAGTATCGGAGATTAAAGAAAGCTAGATTAGAAGAATTTTCGAAGCTTGGGGGAGTTTTGCTTGATTACTTTAAACCTATACAAAATTACCCACCATGCATTTTGTTACAAACAACAGAGGAGTTAGAATTAAAACTCAGGTGAACGCCGAGCATAAGTGAAGACCTTAAACAAGTGCATGCGCAAGAAATATCTGAGGCGACAGATGTAAACGATCAAGATGAGCATACTTTCAAATAAATAAAAAGCAATGATTCTGTTGGTGAATGCCCTGAATTTGACAGCTTTGTTAATTCAAATGAACGTAACGAAGGCGAAGGCATCTCAGAATCTGCTGAAAATGAATTGAATCGAAATATTTCTATTGATACGAAAGAAAACACTTTGTCCCTGGGAGTTGTTGGTCTTAATCTTAGCATTAGCGAAAAAAGGCGTTTACTTAAAATAAATCCATGCCAACCATCCCAGTTTGTTTTGAAACAAAGGAGGATAGTACAAGGAGATCGCACTCGTTATTGCTCCCAGCAGGTTTTTTTCCACGATGATGGAACAAGACGAAAATGGATTTCCTACTCTAAGTGAAGACAGCTTGTTTTGCATACCGTGCATTCTGTTTACAGATTTAACGTCTAGGGAGAAAATATTCGGTCAAATCAAGGAAAATCTTTGCAAGCATTAGTTTCTCCAAATGGAAAAAGCAGTATATTAGAATTCTGGAGCATGAAAATGCAATTCTCATCTAAACGCAAAAGTTGCAGAAGCTCTTTTCCTTCAAGAAAACTCAATATCGGATCAGTTTCATCACCAGGGGAAAATCGAGTCTGAAAGACGTAAAAAGGAAGTTGTTTTAAACAAAACAGTTTTGAAATGTGTGATAGATGTTATTATGTTTCTTGGAAGACAAGGGCTTTCCTTTAGGTCACTGTGAATCACTGACAAATTTCTATCTTAATACAGAAAACTTTTGGAAACGCTTAAATTATTGTCAGAGTACGATGAACCCTTCAATGAGCATCTTGAGAAAGTTCGTGATCCAAGTGAAGCAATCGACAAAGGATGGTGGTAAACTGATAAAAGGAATCAAAGGACGTGGCTCATGGCTAACGTTTTTGAGCAATGATATTCAAAATAAGTTAATATCATTGGTAAAGAAATATCTTCTATAATTGTACAAAAAATACGAAACTGCAAAGCATGGGCATTGATTGCTGATATAACTCATACCGAGCAATTGAGTATATGCGTAAGGCTTGTTAATGAAACTGGCGAGTGTTCTGAACACGTTTTGTCATGCCCAAAAGCAATTGGAACAACTGCACATGACCTATACACTGCTATTACAACAATATTACAATTGCATGGAGTTTCATTTGAAAAGCTTGTTGCCCAAACGTATGACGGAGCATCCAGTATGAGCGGATGTTATAATGGTTTGCAGGCAATTGTAAAAGAGAAAATCGGAAACCACATCATCTATGTTCACTGCTATGCGCATACGCTAAATCTCGTCTTGTCCGATTCAGCTTGTGTTGCTATTGATGTCATTACTCTTTTTGACTCTTTCGAAAAACGGCACGTTCTCTTTAATAATTCTCATAAATAACACGAATTGTTTCAATTGGTTCAAAAGAATGAAAACCTCAAATTTTTTTCGATTTAACGTCTTAATACAGTTCGATGGAATGCAAGAGAATTTTCTCTAAACGTATTTCTTTAAGGTTCAAGTGCATCATGCGAGTGCTCCAAAAGTGGCTGAGGAAAAGTCGTTCACTGAAAGTCAGCGAGCAACAGCAAATGGATTGCAAGCAGCTTTTCAGACAAAGCAATTTGTTGCGACTGCCTGTCTTTCCAAGAAATTTTGGAATTACTGGACCTTTAGTCGATATCTACTGAGCGTAAATGCTGACTTTGGAAAAGCAATGGATATGGTTGATAGCTCAATTTCTAGAATTCAAATCATACGTAACAAACCAGAAAAATCATTGAAATGTCCGATTCTTTGCGTTAGATGTCGAATGGAGGTCTACACGACCTCGTCGTCGACGACCAATGGACGGAGAACAAGCCAGAGATGATTTGGCAGATTCCCCAAAAGCACAATGGAGGCGAGACATTTTATAAAGTGCTAGATTCCATTCAATCTTCAATGAAGAATCGTTTTGAAAAGAATCGACCACTAATGAAATCATTGGCTTTATTCGCACCTAATCAATTTGACGAGCTCTCGAGCAAGTACAAGACACCTCACGGTCTTCAATCTGCAGTGAAAGCCTTTGTGATGTGTATAAGATAGATTCCCAAAGATGCGCTACTAAACTGTTAAGCTTTGCAGAAACATTTAAAAAATTTCACTGTTCTCAGTTTTCAACTCAAAATGACCATGATCATAATGAGCAGAACTTTGAAACTATCGATGATGGTGATGGTGATGATGATGATGAAAATCATTCTGATACTGACATAAGTAAGCATTCGAATAATGCGTCAATTACCGAGAAGGCTAAAAATCCGTCATTCCTAGATGCCTTGAAGCTGCTTTGTTTTCCAAAGTACCATTTAGTCGACGCATACCCAACATTATGCAAAGTTTATTCAATTGCAGTGGCCATACCCATTAGCTCAGCAACTGCTGAACGTTCTTTTTCTTCGTTGAAGAGAGTAAAAACGAGGATTCGATCTACGATGGTACAGGAACGAACCTGGAATCATTGCTTTTAATGGAAGTTGAAAGGAAACTCTCCTTTTATCGACAAAGATAGAATCATAACTTTACTCGGGAAAACCTCCCAGCGCTTGCAAAGGCATTAATATAAATATATTTTACTATGAAAAACAAATAACGTAACAGACATATAATTGCTTGATGATACTTGGTTTTTTAGTTACTTTCTTTTTTATGAAGATTCATGTTTGTGTTTTATAATATAAAAATAAATAAAATACTTGAAAATAGCTATAAGAAAAGGTGAAAGGGGCGCAAAGTTTGTGTTGGCCACCGCAGTAAAAACTATGCCACCACGCCACTGCTTCTGATGACTTAAAATTTTTAACATTTTCCTCGTAATCAGCCTCCGTCCTCGCTCTGGCAATTAATCGTAGTTTTGCAAGAATCATATTTTTTAACGGGAGCAGTCCGTTGCTGCTTTTTGAAAGCCATCGCTCCCACGCTTGCTCTCGATGGAAATCGCAAATGTACGTCTGACATTCTGTAATATAGACGTTTCTGATTAACAGTCTGGTGAATGAATAACAATCCATTTTTTGACTCAGGCAAAACTGTGTTGTCATCATCATCGTCATCTTCGTCTTCTTCGTTATCATCACTATTTTCTTGAGTAATCAAAGACTATGCTGAATATTTAGCAAGCGGGCGAAAGAAGAAAGACTCGTCGGGACACCTCAGTTTCAGTCTTCGATTTTCTTTAAATTCTTGGTCAAATTTTGAAAATCGTTTTTGATGACTGCCTTGTAAATGTGGCTGCGTATGGTTTGTTTGAAGGATAAAATCTGATTGGTTTAGCGGGTGCCTTTGTTGCTTTGTACAGGTCTTGCTCCACATAGATTTTAAGATGCCTCCTAACTTTAACTGAGCAAGCCCCAGCAACAACCAATTTTGGATCTTGAAACAAGCATCTTATCAATCCTTGATGAAGACCTCCAGCCTACATATAGAGGAGCCGATTATAAAACGTAAGGTTTAAAAACAATATAGCAAGACATTGACTTGCACCGTACAAAAACTAGGACTAAATATATCCTTACGCTTCCTATAGGGTGAGTTTTGTGCTCAGATAGGCAAGGCAACTGGATATGGATCCACCTTTCTCCATTGGCATTTCCACCTTTTGTAAGCATTCCTAAGTTTTTCGACATCGATTTTGTCGCCAAACCGTTTGCTCTTTAATCTAAAGGCGCGTAAATTTATCAAAACCTGTGTGAGTAAAGTTTCAAGGCAAATTGATTTGACACCTCCAGACATTTTGTTGTTTACACCTGACAGATCGAGCAATGCATACGAATAAACACCTTTTTAAAATTCCCTAAATCTGGAAATCTGATCTATTCTCTCATGTGAACTTGTGCTGAACAGTTCAATTTTCTTGTTCCTTGAACCATGTTTCTGTGCTTCTTAAACGAGTGGTCGCTAGAATTTGACTAAAAGATATAAACATGTTGGTAAATAATTACACCTAAAAGGAAAGGCAGCTGAAGAAATTCATGAAGGAGAAAGAAACCAAGATTACATCAGAATGTTAAAAATACAATAAAACTCAAAGTTTCCCTCAAAGCTCTTCACACTGGAAGTTTAATTGCAACGTACTATAAGGTTAGCAACGTCGTTTCACTTTCATTTTACTTTTATTAAATCTGTAGTATTGCATTAGCAGATGAATAATATATCTATTATTGTTCTGTTTTTCTTCTTTTGGCTTGAATGCCTATCTACCCCATGACGACAATCGTAGACCCTATGGTTCACTTGAACGAACGGTATATGGTCAAATGGAAGCTGGCCATCTTCCCACTAAACCTTGTGATTGGCACTTGTGAGATCTAACATTTTTTCGATTAAAAATAGAATAAGTGATTTCATTTAGTTCAAATTGAACCATTATATTCAACATTACTGTGTGATTTACGTGGTTGTATTCTGTACACATTAAACGAAACCTTTTTAACGAAAAACTATGCTTTGCCTCTTGCTCTTTTTTAGACTAAAGTACTACCTATGAACTGGTTTTCGCCTTTTTTGCGATAAGTGTAGTTTCCCTATTCCTTGCTCGTTCGACACACAACGACAGACTGAGGATAGTAAGACTCAAATGTGCATGGACATTATTACAGTACTTCTTATATTAAAGAATATGACAACATTCAGGTTTCATATAACAATTTGATCTGGACAACAGAAATAAGGAAAGCATATAGATCGATATATATTAGTTATATTTTGAGAAAAAAATACAAACCTGTGTTCCCAAATCCTTTTTTTGCTTTATTTCCACATAAATTAGTTGTGCTTGCCAACTGTACTCTCTAAGGAGACTGCCTCTACATTTTGCACAAGTCCAGAGCGTTCAGACAGTTTGATTTTAAATAAAGTCGCTGCTGAAATGTCAATAATTTTCATATGTATAAAAATATATGCTTGTTCTTATAAGAACAGTTTACCAGCGGAAACATAAACAGAAATTTAACTTCGTTTGTTTTGTGTGGTGATGTACAATATGCGGAGACTGTTTACTATTTTAAATTATTTCCATTTTCCCGCGATAAGTTTTAAATTGCCACGAATTAAGGCTTTACACGCAAAATTATTACGCAGAATCCACGCAATACGAAAAATAAGCCTCGGGTGTCGGAAATCATCTTCGTAAGAAGTTTCCGAATGCGCCTACTTTTGCTAGATGTCCGAGTGTGCATTCCGTACAGAAATGAGAATATGCAATAATCAAGGTTAATAACCAAGGAACGCCGCGCGGATCTGGGCACGAGACACCCTGTGCAGTTAGCACACAAATTTAGATAATAGGATACAGCAAGGTGTACGTCATTAGGAAAGTACGGTTGCAGAGTAAACAGCATTATTTTTTCTCGAAAAATGTGTTCGCCCGACAAGGCGTTTAACTTTATTGGGGATCGAATTTGTTTTTCGTGTTCTTCTTTCTTATTTATCAGCTGCTCTACGAATTGTATAAAAAAGATGACTAGCAGAAGTAGGCGAAGAAATACGAAACGAAAAAAACAAGCCTAGTCAGCGAGATAAAAAAAATGGCCAAGGATGTGGATACGACTAGAGATATAAGATGGAAGTCTCTTCAAGACTTCCTTTTTTCTGAAAACAATGGAAATGATTTCAAAGTTTAGTTTACATAGGTAAGGATTACTAGCATTTACTTGGGTAAGGATTGTAACACTTTTCTCCTTTGCGCGTTAGCACAAAACAGTTATGCGTCTGCCGATTCGTTTTTGGGACTGTATACTATCCTATTGTAGTAGTCGCAGTCGACACACACTTCTCAATTTTACTCAATATAACTATTCCAATATAACTATTCCACATCACGGAGAATCTTAAACATTTCAAGCTTTTAAATTCACAGGCAGCGACAGAAGAGTCTGACTTTCATCGTGTTACAACTAATAAAGTATTAACATAAGTCTCTATTACCGTTCTTTCATAAGTTCCTAATATCAAATAGCAATTATCTATTACTTATTTACATAAGTTCCGACAAGGATAGCTGAAATAACATGAAGTAGCTACATAAAAAGAAAGAACATACTTACACATTACACATATGCATAGCTAAGCGACACCAATCAGTTTTTTACATTGCCCAAAAAGGTTCGTGTAAATAACTAATCATGTAATGAATGTGGAAAGTCACAGAATAAAAACTTGAAAAGCATTTAGCAACATTAATCTTTACTGTTTTTCGAAAACAACTTGACAGAAAGATACAACGACAAAGCATTAGAACAAGGACTTCTTAAGCTATCATTTAAATTATTTAAACTCTCTCGAGGAACAATTCTTTGTAACTATATATTTATTTCATGGAGATCTCTGGACTTTCGAAAAGATATGGATTTTCCACTTTAGAGATTTGCGAGACAAATTCCACAGTATCTAAACACCCGCCAATTTTACGAATAACCACATTCAATGTTTGAAAAGTATGGTTTCTTAGAAGTTTATTTTTAAGGGGAGGAGTCACAATTTTTCAGATATTTCACACATGACATTGCCAAATAAGGTAAATATAGAAGAGCAGAGGGGCCGATTGCACGAAGCATGGATAGCTTTATCCATTGGATAGCAAAATGTTTTAAATGGTTAAAAACTTTTTAAAAAGGTAAAATGTAAGGTTTGAACTGAGCAATCATTATAATAAAATATTGCTTCTAAGATAACAAAGTTTCTTGGTTGTATGCAACCTTTTAACTAGTACGCTTGCTATTATTTCGGCAGGATTTCGCCATTTTTGTCACCTATTTGTCGTAAGTACGGCAAACTCGCGTTCGTTTACAATTTTGCGATAAGATGGCCGGTTTGTCAATAAGATCTTTCCCTGTGCGTGCCTGCATCTCTGCAATTTATTTATTGCAAGATTCTTTAATGTGATTGCAGTTGATTTGACCTTTCTAAGTTATGTCACGAAGCTCGTTCAATGATTCATTACGTTTGTTGCTAAGTTCATAAGTACCATCCAATCAAATTGTATGTTTGGAATAAAAGCCGGTTACGAAAGTCTATCTAAACATTTGAACTTTACAATACAAACGAACTAAGTTGACTGCAGCTGGTTGGATGTTTCACATTATGTCACACATTATAGCTCTCGGGCTTGTGACATATATATGTTGGTTTGCTGTACCCGGAACAAGTAAGACGTCATTGACAATTTTTATAATAAAGCCTAATTTACGTTAGCAACTTCCATTGTTAATGTCAATAAATCAGATAATGGCATTCAATTATGTCTGATCAAATGAGTTTCTTTAACTTGTTTACAAAGTATAATATAAAACAAATTCCGAAGAAACAAGACATCTTGAGATTGCAAAATATGAATCAAAACAAGACGAGAAGTAAACTGTAAATTTTCGACTTTATTTCAAAGTCATCCTTTCTGTCATATTTTGCAATCTCAAGATGTCTTGTTTCTTCGGAATTTGTTTTATATTATACTTTTTCAAATTGTCGGCTGGTCATGGTTTTTAACTTGTTTACATTTAGTAAATATTCTTTGACAAACATTTTGTTTGATTGTTTTGATGATTTGATATTTGATATACCATCTGTTTTAATTGCTATGATTTTACAAGATGGGGGTGGGTGGCAACAAAACAAATTTTTATTGCATTGTTATTGTTACCAATCAAAGTTGCTAGCACAAATGATGTGGGCCTTTGATTAAAGTTTGATCTGTGCCCCTGCATGAAGTTTAACTCAATAATGTGCTAAACTTCAGTAAATACACAGCCACTTACAGATTTTTGATTGCCATTTAAACTCCCAAATTATGCAGTTTAATCAACTGTTTTGACAGTCAGTAATCATTGAAACATTTACCTTACCGTGTTTGCTTTGCGACAGCATATCATTAGACACAAAAACTTTTCCTACCTTAATGTCATTACTTACCTTTCATTGTACAGGTCTATTTTCATGGCATCCGACACTGATGATACTTGGTGTGAGTAAACTGTAATAGATAATATACCATCAAATTTTTATCGTCAATTACCAA